GTGTGTGTGTGTGTGTGTGTGTGTGTGTGTGTGTGTGTGTGTGTGTGTGTGTGACCTCTGTACCCATAATTATGCCTGGTTAGATTCTCCAGCCTCAAGTTTGGCCTGGGAGGATTCGTAGGAGAAGTAAGTGAGTATAGGTCACTTGACCACTGCTTCTGTAACCTTGGTGGTGCTGCTTTTCTGTCCAAACTGTGAGTTCTCCAATTGCCTGCTGCTGAGGTAGGTGGTCACTGTGCTTGGCTGATCCTCTGGGACAACTCTGGCACTTGTGACACTGACAGTTCAGGCCAGGGTCTCTTGGGAAGAGCACTCTGTTAGGTAGTCTCCCTTTACAACACCTCAAGCCCGGTCCCTCCCAACACACATCAGCACAGTGTGAAATGCTGGCAGACTCCTCTCTGCATCTTTGCTGTCTAGATGCTGCAACTCACCCCCACCTTTCCCCGCTCCATTAAGCTGAGAGGGAAGATGCTTGTCTCCCCTTCCTGCAGTCGCTGAATCTCAGTGATCATTTTCCCCCCTCAGGGGCCAGGGGCAACTTCATTTTCCTCCCTAACTAAGCCCATGACTCAGTAATAGATCAGGGATACCATAGCCTACATCGCTGACAAAGCTAGAGTCCACATACATATTTCACAAGCAAGACAAGACTACAACAGTAAGTTTAACTAAATTGGGGTATTTTTTTTAGGCAGATGTACCTAGGTAGCCCTGGCTGACCTGGAACTCACAGAGACTTGCTGCCTCTGCTTTCCAAATGCTGATGGTAGGAGTAGCCACCAGACCTGGCTACATTAAGATATATGCTGAGTCTGTGCAGGATTCAGAGCAGCAGATATCACTGAGCATAAAGAGGGGAACAGAAGACAAGACTATTCAGTAGGCATCTAGTGTTTTCCTGACAGTTCGTCATTTCTAAAAGATTCACTGCAAGCACACAAACAGCTTTCATTTATTCTCTCTGGGTGGTAGAACAATAGCTTTTTGCTTAATTGTTTGTAAAGCATTTGTATACTTCTGCAATATTTTATAATTATTATTTTCTCAATTTTAAGAAATATATTATGTAAATATTTAAAACTTTATATGGAAGCAAATAGGGTCTATAGTTGTGATTTGCTAAAAATAAATACCATGAAAAATTCAGATTCATAAAAGATCAATTAGAGGGTTATTAATCACATTGAAAATGTATTCACTATATAACTCATGAAATAGAATGTTTTATGATGCAATCAGAATTATTCATTTGATAATTGGGTGATTTGCATTTAACTTTTTAAACTATTCCTGCTTTTGAAATCATGGTACACCTGTTAATTCATCTTTCCTGTCCATGTTTAGAGAGATTTCTCTGGGGATAATTTCACATGCAAATGCCAGTTGCTGGTTGGGAAAAGCAATTTTTCTAAGGGAAGATATCCTCCTAGAATCATAACATGGTTATTCATATCCTGTGCTTACTGTAATGTTATATTCTGGAACATAACTGATGCTGTGAACACTGTGGAGAGGAAATACTGATGCTGTTTTAATGGGGGTGAACAAGAATGTGAATCACTGATCTACATACACACCAAAAAGCATAGGTGTCCGAATACCGACACCCGTCAAAGCCAGGGCTGCTCTCCTTCTTGTCTCCACTTCCCTGTTCTTCCTCGAGTTTCCTCTCAGCCTCCTCTTTCTCTCTGGCTCTTCTAAGGCAGTAAGCTTTCTCCTGCTCTCTGATTTGCTGTTCAACCGCTGTGTAGTTCTGCAATGCCTGGATCCTTTCGGAACGCTCAATTTCTCTGCCATCCAACCACTTAAATAAAGAGCAACAGACAGTACAATTATTCAGTTATGCCAAGCAAGGTGATTCATGCATGTAACTAGCATTTGGGTGGCTGAGGCAGGAGGATTTCCAGGAGAAGAAGGCCAGACTATGTCAACTTGCAAAGAAAGGAAGGAAGGAGGGGAAGAAAGAAAAAAATGAGGGAGAGAAAGGAGGGTCAGCCCCAAGTTAACTTTGATTGACATATTTTTAAATTAGAAATTATAATGCCATAGCAACAGAGAATTAAAACAAAGTAACTAATGTGAAATATCAGAAATATTGGTCTAAATCAATGCTTATTTCATTCAAGTAGTATAGTTTACAAAGAAACCTTACTGGAAATAAGCAGGTCTTCTGTCAAAACAATTAATGACAAGCTCTCAAAATATTTCTATTAATTTTATAACTGCTCACTCTATTAAGTTGGTGCTTTAATCAAATGACAGCTCCTGTAACAATAGTGTCCTCTAAGTCTCTTCCCGGAAAGGACCATACACAAGGAGCTCCCACTCACATCAGCTCACGTGCCTCCCTTGAAGATGTTAACAAAGTGTTCATTGTTATAGACGGTGTTTACATTACGTATGTGTGTTAAATTAAATGAAATTAAACAGCGTGAGAGGATGGCTCAGTCAGAAAATGTCTTGCTGCACAAGCATGAGGTCTGTGTCCTGCCCCTCGTACCCTGGTAAAAAGCCAGGGTCCTGGTGCACACCTGTAATTCCAGCACTGAGGCGCCGAAGACAGTTAGACCCTGGGGCTGTTTCGTCAGCCAGTCTAGCCTAATTGCTGAGCCCCAGGTCCCAGTGAGAGACCCTGTGTAAAAACAAACAACAGAAATACAGAAGGCGGCTCCTGAGGAGGAAGAACACTTGAATTAGTCCTCTGACCTCTGTCTACATACAGATACACTCCCACATACCCCCACATGAAAACACAAGTACATGACGCCCCCTCTCCTATACGCAGAAGCAAAAGGTAAAGCCAAAATGCTAACTAAAATGCAAAATGTCAAAGCTTCCAGCTCAAAGAGATATATTAGCCCAGCCTAGTCCCACGGGAAGAGGTGGGAGGGTTAAATTGATGCTCTTGGCCGACAAAGTCCTCGGTGCCTGGGATCCAGTCCCTGTGAATGTCACCACATCCGGTCAAAGGTACTTAGACGTGATGTAGTCAAGAATCTCAGATGAGCGGATGGGTCCCCCTTGGAGTATGGAGAACCTATAAGTAAGAAAGTTGGGAGCTCAAGCGCAAGCATCAGAGCCAGGGAAGGAGGTGAAGACTTTGAAAACCCAGAAGTAACCATAAACACAAAGGAACAGGCGCCCTCTAGAGTTGGCAAACAGAAAAGCAGGTGGTGTCCTTGCCATGCCTCCCCTGGCCCACCCGTGGATGACTGACAGCTCTGCCAACACCTAGATTTCTGCCCAGGGAGCCATTTCAAAGGGCTGAACTTCAGAACCCTAAAGAGAATTTGCCTTGTTTTAAAGCACTACAGTTTTGTTAACCTATTGAATCAGGAATAGGGAACCATCACAAAGTGAATTTAATCAAATTTAACGGAGTAGAAAATTTCAAACTAGTAAGATAAGCAATATTACAGATCAAAATGATAACGAAGAGATTAGATTTTCATGAGACTCATGTGGCTGCTATACCTAGGCTGTAGATTTGGTTTTGAGCTTCCTGGTGGCCAAAGTAAAATAATAATAATAATAATAATAATAATAATAATAATAATAATAATACATTATTAGTTAGATATTTTATTTGATTTTTGCTGTCTTTAATTTTAAGATTTATTAATTTATGGCTTTCATCTAGTATTTAGTTTTGAAAGATATCTTTAAAGTAGAGCTTCATAATGGATATCTCAAGAAATGTTACATGCTATTTGTACAGAAATATACTGGAGGAGTAGAAGGCTTTTCAGAGATTCTTTTTTTTTTTTTAGCATCCTTCTATGAAGACTGAGGCCAGGCTGGTAAGTTTATCCCAGTTGCTGCCATCACTTAAGGTAATAAGCAGTTCTTCCCCAAAGGAGTGCTTTCCAAAAGCAATTGAGTTTAAGCTAGAGTTAAGGTCTAATCAAGATGGAAAATTCTGAATAAAATCATGACATAAATAAAATAAATCTCTGTAACAAGCACAATGTGTAAATTTTCAAGTAACTATTAGTTTATTTATGTAAATGAGACTATAAAACATTAACATAAATAGGGATTATACAGTTTTTTGGATTGGACTGGAAGATTCTGGCTAAATTAAAAGAAAATTAACCTAAGATTCTGATGAACTTCAGGAAGAAAGGTGATGTTCTTGGTTATATCTACAGCACATTTGATTTTATGAAGTCTTTATACATGTCTTAAATTTTTATTCATTCAGATGTACTGTTTCTATGAGTATGACAAAGGGTCCCTCTATTACGTTTCAGCTTGAAGGCCTCATACAGAGAACTGGTTTGACATATGGCCCTCTGCCCAGCCACCTACCATACAGACCTCACTTATTGAAAGGTTCCTGTTAGGCAATGTTCAAAATTGGCCTACATTTTCTCCAAGTCCAAATAACCCCTTCTGAACTAGGCAGCAAGGGCAGTGGAAACTTGAGCACTTCCTGACCTTCCTCCACATAGGGTCCCTGCACCCGGAACAGCAGTGTGCTCATGCTTAGTGATGACACCTATGCATGCATCAGAAACTGTGCATGTGCCCATGCTGCATGGGCCCACACTGACTGACTGCAACCGTGCATGGATACGAGCTTACTGGTGATAACTGCATGGGTGGGTCCATGCTTACTTATGATATCTGTGCATGGGTCACTGCAGAGGAAAGCAACTGAACTTGCCTCGGGGCTTCACTGCTCTGTAGGAGACATCAACATCCATCTAGAGATGGGTGAAATAAAAAAGGCCTGCAGCTCACAGGGAGGGCCGTGAGTAACACTGGGCTGTGTGCTACCAAGGCCAGTGCCCCTTCACTACCTGCAGGACTCAGACCTCAGGACACTCTTGAAAAGGTTGGGTTTCCTTGTATCTCCTCTGTTCTTAGCGGCTAAGTTAAAGTTCTAACCCCAGGACCTCAACATTTGACTATTTGAACATAGGTACATTGTAGATATAATTCATTTGGGGAAAAAAAAAAACATATTGGAGTGATGTGGGCTTAATCTCATATAACCGGTGTCATTACAAAAAGAACTCCATGTGAAAGAACAGAGGCCTAAGAACACTGAGAAGACTAAGGCAGAGCATAGCAGGGAGAGTATGGACCAAGCAATGCCAGTCAAGTCTATTAATTAAGGGACAGTCCTAGAGTCTCCCTCTCAGACCTGAGAGGGACACCACTCAGCTTGTTTTTCTACAACATCATTTCGACAATGTGATGAATCCATCATTTAAGCCACAGATAGACAAGGCTTTTCGCACTACAGTCCTAGCAAATTAACACATCTGCCACCACAGTCCCTTTCAAGCAAACCTCAAAGGCTATCAGGGAAATGGTAACTAAGATTCTAAAGTGCTCTGCTCAATTTTTAAGTATCAGCAAACACACTTACCAATATTATTTTTCACAGGTGCTGATGGCCTGCTGTAGAAGCCGAGTGAGGGCAGTCTCCTGAAAGACTCCTTCCAATGGTTTATGCTTACTCAGAGAGGAGCAGTGAGAGTGTGTGTGGTGGATGGTGGAGACTCAGAGTCAGACACAGGGAGTGCAGGGCCCTCCAGTTCCACGGGCCTGGTGTGTCAGGAGGGGCAGTTCTTTGAGTCCTGACTTCCTGTCTCTAATGTGCTTCACTGTCCTTCCTGTGTGGGTCCGAGACAGAGACACCAGGCACAGAGTACCTGTACTACACATGGCCATTTTCAGTAGGTAGTGAAATGTCACAACTCTGGCCCACAGTGACACAGACAAGCTCAGCTGTGGTGGCCGTGTGACGCAGTCTAACCATGATTCCTTCATGTTACCAATGACTCATAGCTTCAGTCTCCAGGACCCACTTCTAGCATGCTCTGTATCACACCATTCATTTTCTATGAAGACTTCGTGTGATGATGACATGTAGTTTGTGTGTTGAAATGATTTATCTCTTATGCTAGGTTCAATTACCCAGATCATTTTTATAGTCTAAGAAACTTTCCATGACAAGAAATGTGTTCTAGAATCTAGCAGTCAGTGATTTCCCAACTACAAAAAAAAAAAAAAAAAAAAAAAAAAAAAAAAAAAAAAAAAAAAAAAAGATGAAGGAGCAAACACCCTCTGAAAACTAAGCCAATGGATGTTTCAGAAACCTAGAGCCACACATGAGCTAAGAAATTTGGACTTGTGTGAAAACTAATATTCTCCCTTTAATATTCTCAGCTGTATACTTACTCTAGAATCACATTTTTCCTAAATATTAGATCTAAAATTATTCTAGATAATATTAGTTCTAAAATTATTAAATTTGGGGGATATGGTGGCAAATAAAATATGGACTTCCTGAATATAAGTCGGAAGTACAGATTAAAACCTGCTGGGGCTCATGACGGGCACCTAGTCCTGGGAGGCAATCTTGCAGGCTTGGAATGAGATCTGAACAACATCTCCATGTAGTATCAGGAGTGAACTACATTAATACCCAGATGCTGAAGAAATGACCTGTTGTTTGATGTACACAAGAAACCCTTGTACATTTGGTGTCATAAATCTCCTATTGTTCTGATGTGAGAACAGAGGGGGGACATGAAAGCAACTGCTTTCGCTAGACACACAAAAAAGAACAGCGCTCCTCAGGTCAGTGTCCTGAAGCATCACCCATGGGTTGATAGATGTGTAAATCTTGTGACCCATGCCATTCAGACCCAGTTCAGAAGTCTTAAGGACAGGCTATGGCAACCTGTTTACCTTGGTTTGACTGTTTGGCTATTGTTGATGCTTTGAGGCTGGTCTCACTGTGCAGGCCCAGATCCTTTGGAACTCACTGTGTAGTCCAGGTTGGCCTTGCTGCAGTCCTAATGCTTTTTCTCTGCCTCTCAATTTCTGGGACTACAGCGGTGAATATCGGTAGTAATGAAGGCTGTGCTTCAAAATATGCCTCAACTGGTCAATAAATGGCTACGTTCAGTGTTTTGATGTGACAGTAGAGCAATATGTGACTTACTTTTAAAGATCTGCTGAAGTTTCAAAAACAATGTCAAAGGTTTAAAAATCAAAGAATGCAATTTTATTCTTTAGCATATTCCAATCTCTGAAGCAACCAATTTTGCCTAACAATTCATTCCAAGAAGATAACAGGAATTACTGTGGTTGCTTCCTCTCATCTTTCTGTGTATTTCTTTCTTTCCTTGCTTTCCCCTTTCTGCATCTTTACTTTGAGCATACCTTTAGCTGCTGTAAGGTCACCACCACAAACTGCCTGTAGCCATCAAAGTCAGCACATGGGTTACCCATGAGGAAGAGTTCCTTCAGGTGAATATTGTGTATCAGGGTTTTAATGCTGCTCAGCTCTCCAATGAAATTTACAGTCAAGTCAAGTTTTGTCAGACACTCACATCCTATAGAGATGAAGAGAGAGAAAAGAGTGAAAACCAGAGAAAATGTCAATAGTAATAAACTTGTGAGATAGCAAATAATAGATGTGATACTAACATTTTTAATCTTCTAGTTATTTGCATTGCTTACCAGTGAGTGATTTTTCAGAAATCTCACCTCAAATTCTTTTTTTGTTTGTTTGTTTGCTTTTGGTTTGGGTTTTGTTTGTTTCTTTGTTTTCTTGAGACATGGTTTCTTTGTGTAGTCTTGGTTGTCCTGGGATCAATTTGTAGACCAGGCTGACCTCGAACTCAGAGATCCACCTGCCTCTGCTTTCCTGAGTGCTGGGATTACATCAAATCAAATTCTTAGTCTTGTCTTACTTTTTAAATCTACAGTTCTCCTTATTTTCAGACACTTGGTCAGGCAGGGGAAGGACCATTTCCAGCTAGCATCTGTAAGCCCAGGCTGATTAAGATTTAGATTTGCTCATTATCTGACACAGAGAAAGCAATGAATCCATGGCTGCTAGTGTGGGCATCATACAGAGATGGTCCTTGGCATCTGCCTTCTTGAGCGTTTTACTAGGAACTTAGGACATTTCACCAAGGAAACAATATTTGGAAATGACCCCACACACACACACACACACACACCGAAGAAAGGACATCTCTTAAAAGCAATGCATCAGGATAAAGATTTGTAGTCCTCTAGCTCTAAAGCCACCAAAAACTGAACTATTACCAAAAGTGAAGAATAAAATATTGTGAAGTCGTGTTGAGAAATATAAAAAGGGTAAACTACAAGAAGAGTTATACAGTGAGTTTGAGTCATTCAATCTTCATTATATAAATGGCCAAGTGCTCTGGTAAATGAAATAAAACTCAAATTTGAATTTGAGTTAATTTCTCTTTCATTCCAGAGGAACTTGGCAAGTCATAGTTCAGACTTGGGAGTTAGACAGACATAAATAAGTTCAAATCCTAGTTCTATTTCATCCTTGCTATATTGGCCTTGGCTAAGTAACAAACCTTAGCCTTCTTGTCTATAGAATTTCAATGATGTGAGCAGCACTGTTTGTTGACAGGAGTTGTGGAGATGAGGAGATTCAAATAAAGTACACAGCACGCAACCCAAGAGAGCTTCCGTAACACTATGATACAAGACTACAGTAAGCACTCTTCAGATGTGCCTGCAGGGAAAGAAGGCGGTATAGCCTCCTTCTGAACTATCTGTAGTTGTTGCTGAACTAAGGGAAGGCTGACCTGATTTACATGGCAGCCCAATAGGCTTGGTTCAATAAAGGCTGTCTTTATTTGTGATTGAAATGCTTGTGGAAATGACATGGCAAACTCTAAGGCCTTCAATATATAAAGATTAAATCCAAGAAGTTGATGCATCCTGAGCCTATGTGAACTTAGTTCTCCAAACGTCTGTAGATCCTCATCCCCTATGCTTTTTGTTGACACCATTTTTCTGATGGTTTCCTGTGGATATTTAACCTGAAGTAAACTTGTCTATGTTAGCGAAATAAGCTTGATTCAGATTGGTTCATAGCTCTGCAATCTTGTCCCATTTAGTGAGTTAGACCTCATTTCTTTTTTTAATTAATTATTTTTATTAATTACAGTTTATTCACTTTGTATCCCCCCCGTATCTCCCTCTCTCTTCCCCTCCCAATCCCACCCTTCATCTTCCCTACCCATATCCCTCCCTCAGCCCACTGATAAGGGAGGTCCTCCTCCCCTTCCCTCTGATCCTAGTTTATCAGGTCTCATCAGGAGTGGCTGCACTGTCTTCTTCTGTGGCCTGGTAAGGCTGCTCCCCCTTCTGGGGGAGGTGATCAAAGAGCAGGGCAATCAGTTCATGTCAGAGACAGTCCTTGTCCCCATTACCTTGGAGGTCCCTTGGATACTGAACTGCCATAGGCTACCTCTGTGCAGGGGTTCCAGGCCATCTCCATGAGTGGTCCTTGGCTGGAGTATCAGTTTTAGAAAGGACCCCTGTGCCCAGACTTTTTGGATCTGTTGCTGTCTTTGTGGAGCTCCTAACCTCTCCAGGTCTTTCTATCTTCCACTTCTTTCATAGGACATCCTGTACTCTGCCCAAAGTTTGGATATGAGTCTCAGCATCTGCCTCGATACCCTGCAGGGTAGAGCCTTTCAGAGGCACTCTGTGGTAGGCTCCTGTCCTGTTCCCTGTTTTTTTCCCTCCTCTGATGCCTATCCTCTTTGCCCTTCTGAATGGGGATTGAGCATCTTTACCCAGCGTCTTCCTTCTTGATTAGCGTCCTTAGGTGTACAGATTTTAGTATGTTTATCCTATATTATATGTATACTATCGAATTATTAGTGAGTATATACCCTGTGTGTCTTTCTGCTTCTGGGATACCTCACTCAGGATGATCTTTTCCAGTTCCCACCATTCCCCTGCAAATTGATGATTTCCTTGTTTTTAATTGCTGAGTAGTATTCCATTGTGTAGATGTACCACAATTTCTGTATCCATTCCTCAATTGAGGGGCATCTGGGCTGTTTCCAGGGTCTGCTATTACAAATAAAGCTGCTACAAACATGGTTGAGCAGATGTCCTTGTTGTATACTTGAGCGTCTTTTGGATATATGCCTCGGAGTATAGCTGGATTTTTTTTATTAGTTACATTTTATTAATTTTGTATCCCAGCTATATCCCGCTCCCTCATTCCCTCCCAATCCCACCCTCCCTCCCTCATCTCCTCCCTGCCCCATTCCAAGTCCACTGCTTGGGGAGGACCTCCTCCCCTTTCATCTGACCCTGTTTTATCAGGTATCTTCAGGACTGGCTACAAAGTACTCTGAGACAGGAGGATTGCTTGAGTCCAGGAGTTCTGGGTTGTAGTGCGCTATGCCGATTGGGTGTCTGCACTAAGTTCGGCATCAATATGGTGACCTCCCGAGATTGGGGGATCACCCAGTTGCCTAAGGAGGGGTGAACCGGCCCTGGTCAGAAATGGAGCAGGTCAAAACTCCAGGGATGATCAGTATAGCTGAATCTTGAGGAAGCACTATTCCTAATTGTCTGAGAAAGCACCAGATTGATTACCAAAGTGGTTGTACAAGTTTATGTTCCCACCAGCAGTGGAGTAGGGTTCCCCTTTCTCCACATCCTCTCCAGCATGTGTTGTCACTTGGGTTTTTCATCTTAGCCATTCTGATGGGTGTAAGGTGAAATCTCAGGGTCGTTTTGATTTGCAATTCCCTGATGACTAAGGACATTGAACATTTCTTTAAGTGTTTCTCTTCCATTCGATATTCTTCTATTGAGAATTCTCTGTTTAGCTCTGTTCCCCATTTTTTAATTGGATTACTTGACTTGTTGCTGTTTAACTTCTTGAGTTCTTTATATATACTGATATATAGGGTTGGTGAAGATTTTTTCCCAATCTTTAGGCAGTTGTTTTGTTTTGATGACGGTGTCCTTTGCTTTACAGAAGGTTTTCAGTTTCATTAGTAGACCTCATTTCTTTTTTTTTGGGGGGGGGGGTGCAGGTTGTCTCCTGATTTATTAGCTGGACTTTTTTTGTTGTTTTTTTTATATTAATATTTTTATTTTTAAATAATTTTATACATTCACTTGTATCCCAGCTGTAGCCCACTCCTGCTTTCCCTCCCAATCCTCCCTTCCCTCCCTCATCTCCTCCCTGCCCCCTTCCAAGTCCACTGAGAGGGTGTGTCCTCCCCTCCTTCCGTCTGGCCCTAGCTTATCAGGAATCTTCAGGATGGTTGCAATTAGACCTCATTTCTTAAAGATAGATAATGGAACCGAATTATTACATGATAGTTTTCTTTACCCCTTCATCTTTCCTTGATTTCAGGACTTGACTCCACCTTGTAGGCAGTCATTTACAAGGGCAGTTTATAAGTGGCTAAACCACTGATGACAATGACACTACTCCTCCCAATTTTTCTCACATATTTCTTATTTAGTAAACCTACTATAAGCACTCTAATTTTGATTCTTATTAACTTTGTATGAAATAATGAAAGTAATCTTCTAAACCCACTCAAAACAAGACTATTTGAAAGGGGAAAATGAAAAAAGTAGATAAGTGACAGAGAGAACTCAGTATCTTGACATCCCACAAAGCAAGGAAATGTTCTGAGACTGTGACAAGCACATGAGGACATGGGAGTCTGTTCGGAAGCGCTGCTCTGGCCATGCTAGAACAATGTGAACATCAAACTAAAAAATGGCAATAGCACAATCTACTGACTTAGCACAGTGGCATAATCTACTGAATAAATCAAGGATCCATTCATCTAAAATGATGTAAGAAATAATAAACAGGGAAGTGGAGTAGGTGACATTCTTGATTAAAGTCAAATACCATCCAAGTGCAATAATGGAACTGCAGGATCATTAATGAATGTATTAAAACCAGCACATAAAAGTATGATAAGGGACAAGATGTTCACATAATTTCTTCCCATCATTTTTTAATTAACTAAAATATAAAATGTAGGAGCTATAAAGCAGAGTGACAAATTAGATACTGACTGTCCTTTGGTTCTTTTGTGACATTTAGACATTCTCTAATGATTTAATTATCTGTACAACTTTTGTCTTTTCTGATATTTTTCAGTAATGTGATTGAATACCTATAACTTATCTTTTTTGTTATAATCAGAGCTCCTTGTACATTGGGAAATTGTCTTAAAAACTGTTTTGCCTAATACAAGAAACTCTTTAGCACAGTATAAAAGGTTAAGAAATATTTGAGGCAAGTAAAAAGGCAATGGTGGACACAAGAAAAAGGAAGAGTAAAGAGAATGATGAAGATAGAGGAAGGGGATAATGGGTGATTGAGCAGGTTAGACACTAGAGAGATTAGTTACTTGGCCAGATGAAAACTAGGAAAAATACAAGTTTAAAGATAATGGAGCAGCTGAGGTAAAGGAAAGAGAACTGGCAAGGCTGAATGTAGGTCAAATACCATCAGTGCCACTAGATTACTGTTACTGTTGGATGTGATGCTATAGCCAAT